ATTTTACCAAAAGATGTTAAACCATGTAAACAAATCACAATAAAATCAAAATCTCAAGATATTTTATCAGTTCCTTTAGATACAATACCTTTGCAGGGGTCAAAATTTCATACACTTGCAGCCAGAAAACTTATTCAAGAAATTGAGGATGGCAATTATTATCCTATTTACACAAATAACAAAAAGTATGTTCGTGAACAAATTGTGCACTTAGCGAAATCTTATAACCTGAGTTCTAAATATACAAGGTAATGTTTCGGTTATATTCATATTTTTTTCAATATCATGCTAATGATTTATTATTTGATTTAAATAAACAGTTTTATTGCAATTGATTCGTATAATATTGAAGATCATGAAAAAAGGGAAGAATTTGAGAAAAAAATGGCTATAGAGAAATATAAAAAATTTGATCATGAAGAAAAATTAATTATAGAGCTTGAAAAGCAAAAAAAAATTGAAAATAAAAAAGACATCGAACTTAAAAAAAAATCTGTGAAAAAAATAATAATGGAATTTGAGAAAGAAGCTGAAAATCAAAATGCTATAAAACTTGAAAAAAAAGAATGTGAAAAAGCAATTATTGAAAAATGTAAAGAGCTTGAAAAACAAAAAAAAATGGAATTAAAAAAAGAACAACTCAAAAAAGAAAAAACAATAGTGCTTAAAAAACAGAAAACCATTCAAATTAAGTCATCGTCATATCTTGCAACTGTTATTAACCTTTCATATCTTAAAAAAGTTGAAAAACTTAAAAAGAAACCTGCAAGCATTACTATTGGTTACTTGAAACTTGCAGCACCAAATAATTATAATTGGAAAGATAAATATGATAAAGGTCGTGAATATCTTTCTAAACAAATTGGAGACGCATATGCTGAAAAAGAACTTTTAGATTGTACAGACAATTATGTAGTTGAAAATTATACAAAGAAGGTGATTAAGGACAAAAAGAGAATGGCAGTAGCTACTATTCAAGTCTCAACCACTCCTGAAAAATGCGATGACATAATATCTAATCAAAATGATGATGGAAGTTTTGAAATCAGTGAAACTATCTGCGAAGAATTAGAGTCATCAGAAGTTAGTTATTAATATTTAAATGTTATGAAAATTAATTATTTTATGTTTAAACTTACAAATTTTATGATTATGTTACCAGTTTCCTTTGGGTGATTTTTATATAAAATCAGCATCCGGTGTTTTCACATCCACACCAGCACAAAATTTGGTAGTAGATATTAAACGCAATTTATTCGTGCCTTGGGGTGCTATCAAGGATGGAACGAAAGCTATTATAGCTCATCAAAAAAGCGATATTGATCAAGATGATCATCAACTTTGGCGTCATGAAGATGGTTGGCTAATTAACAAACAAACAAATTTATGTCTAGAAGTGGATGAGGGTAAGAATTTACGATAATAAAAAAAAAATTGCGAGTCAAACTATAATAAATTCACTTCTATCATTATAGCGAAAGCAGGAATTTGTCTCAGTGTTCACCATAAGAGAAACCTAAATAAGGCTAATAATCAACGTTGGATCCTTACCCCTGAAGGGCATATTGCATTAAAAAGCAATCCCAAATTCGTTATCGAGGTTCTCCGTAAAGGAGCAGCTGTGAAAGATAGATCTTGTCTTACTCTCACAAATACAAAGTCGAAAAACTTTAAAGATGGCCCGAACTCTAAATTTGTTATTATTCATAAGAAACATCTTGGTAAAAATACAAATATAGTAATGTCTTAAAGTTTATTTGAAATTTTATCATTTATTAACGATTACATTGGTAGATGGTGCTTTTATTGGCGTGATTCGAATGGAATTAGTAAGTGCTAAAGACCTTAAAAGTATCGATCCTTCCCTTGCTGGAGGTAAATCAATTATGCCAATTTATGCATTGCTGTTATATTGACGATTGAAGTGGTTTAAAATGTTTGATATGATTTTATTACTTAGAAAAATCTTATGTTCGAATTTTTGATGAGGATAATAAAATTATTGCCCAAACTAAATTCATCGATAATAATTTGAATCCAATTTGGAATGAAGTTCATTACCTTCCGGTTAAGAATATTGGTGAAAAATTTCTTTTAGATGTGATAGGCTATAATACTCATACGAAAGATAAATCGCTTGGAATCTATCACTTTGCAGTTACTCGAGATTTCATCAAAAAAATTTCCAATGGTACACAAAATGGCATCGATATGTGAGTAAAAAGTTTTTCAAGATTTATAAAAAAAAAACATGATTTTAATTTATAGTTTATAAATTTTTAGGTGGGCAAAACTTTCAACTAAGGGTCAAATTTTTTATAGAGCGAAGTTCTTCTCTCTGGAACCTCTTCCTCAACAAACTCCTGAATTTCTAAAGAAAAATTCTTTTAATTTATCAACTTTATATCTAATTATCACTTTACAAACACTAGATGGAAGTTTTCCACCTTCAAACACATTAGCCAAATTGTTTGGTTATGAATCACTAGGGGAACTCATAAATTTATACAAATCTCATTGTTGTGAAGATCGTGTTTTAATGATTAATCAAACAGTATGGACAACTAGTATGGTCTCATGGTTCTTGCAATCTATGTTAAAAGAATATCGAAATGAATGGATTGGTGTTTATGAACGTGCCGAACAATATATTAGTAAAGAAATTAATTATAACTTAGAAATCGAAAAAGTTGTGGTCACTACTGGCAAGAAGGCCGTTCATGAGAGATTTGAGATTAAATAATTTCTATTATATAGATAAATCAATAAAAAAAAAAAAAAAAAACACTAAGTTATGCATGTTCACAACATATTTATTTCATAAACATGTTGGTTCTAAACAAGCAATATATAGTAACTTTGAACGCTTTCTTAAATGAATATTTGATGTAATGTATGCATCAGACTAATACATGTCTAAAAGAAAATTGGTAACAAAATTTAATTAATAAATGTATTTATTAATTAAGTATATATATATCATTCTTATCGTCTTATATTTATTAATATCTAATGTAGTTTAAGTTATCGCATCAAAAAAACTATAAAGCAAAAGTTAAATTTTGCGTAAATATTTTAGGAAAAGAGGTCCATATAAATTAGTAAATACTGTCTGTATATGTAAGAGTATATTTATGTTATCGTTATATGAATATGCTATTGTTAAACCGACGAAAAATGAAATACGAAACTTCCGGCGAATAACTAACCTCTAAAATCCTAATAAAAGATAAAATTATTAAATAATTGAAAATCTAATTCTCTAAAAATTGTATAATGTTAAAATGAATGAGAGCTTGAATTTTGAGTAAAATGAACAGATATTATACATTATTCTCGCTCAGATAGCTTTATTATATGAAACAACATCATGGAAGTAGTGCTCTCCGCTGCAAGTCACGAAATTACGTGACGAAAATACAGGAGTATAGAAAAAGAATACATGTCGTGGTTTATAAAAGGGGGAAGATTTTACTTAATTTATCGACTTTTTTCTTACATAATAAAACTATCTTGATAACACACTTGTACCGTTTACTCTACCCACACAGGTGCAGCGGTCAAAGAAGATGTTCACACACAAAGTTCAGTGATTCCAATTTCACTTTTACTTTTGTACAGTTTACTCTGCTCACGCAGGTATAGTAATCAATTAGGATGTCTACACAAGGTGCAGCGATCCAAAAATATATACATAAATATGGTGGATGCCCACGCGAAGGTGTGGCTAAAGCCAGATCACAATCGGGCAGTAAAAGAAAGAAAGAAGCACTGCATATTTTCTTCCTATCAACTTACTATTAAATACTTAAACCAGGTACCTAAGCCTGGTTGCCAAGGTCAGGTTATGGATCATCCTCGCGATAATACCCTTGCATAGTGTTCTTAGTTTCAGTTCAGTTTAGTTCAGGTTCATGAACCAAGTTCATTGAACCTGAACTTAACTTCAATTTTGCAGACCATTGAACTGAATTTTAATTTTGCAGATTGTTGAACCTAAACCTGAACTGAACTTAAAATTTGTAAACCTGAACTAAACCTGAACTTAAAATTTGGTTCAGTTCAGGTTCAGTTCAAAGTTTATAAATATGTTTAGATTCAATATTATATATATATATATATATATATATATTTTTATACAACAAGGTCTATTCTTTAATTTTTTTATTTAATTCAAATAAGATGATACATATGAAAACAACATATATACAATTAAAAGAAAAAAGAGGAGGTAGAGATAAGAGCTAATTTACTTTTGACCTAAGCTATGCTAGCAAGGTCTAGACTACTCATCTTTGTATATTGTAAAAGAGAATTATGTCTAATATTTATATATTGTTATAATTTGTTTGTAATATGTGAATATGAAAGCAGGACTGTAGTAGAAGGAGGTATTACTATTAGTGGAGTTGGGATAGGAAATCCTATTGTATGTATAATTTTATGAGAAGATAATCAAATTTCCTCATATATTGATTTAATAATCAAATAGTGAATTAGAAATGTATATTTGATTCTGTCTGAATATTTATTGAATAGTGTAAGTGTTGTTGAAGTAATTATTTCAAGAAAAACTTTTTGTTAAATATAAAGATATTTAAATATTAAAATAAAATTATTTGTATTAGTTGCTATAAGATCTAATTCTTGAGAAGTTATTAAAATCATGTCTCAGATTAGAAAGTCTATTGTTGTAGAATTCCAAATACAGAATATTAAGTATATGTTGCTTTCTAGTTCTTTGAAGCATTGAGGACAAAAATAGTTTTTGTATTTTGAAGAATTGCAGTAGTGTAATATGAGGTAGTTAGAAAGTTCTTCAGCTATTAGTTTGATTTTAAAATTTTTTAGTTTTGAAAAAGCAGAATTAGTTTGTAAAGATAGTACTTTTTCTTTAAATGATATATATAGTAGAGTACTAGATCATTGAATATCTTTGATATTGTTTGTTCAGTATTTAATTTTATTTGATTTGCTCATCTTAAACTATTATTAATTTTGAAGTTGTCTTTTATGATAGTGTGAAGATGATATATGCATGAAGATGAAAATAGATATAAAATAAATTAGTTGTAAAAAAATTTTTAGGATTTTAAATTGAGTTTTATAAGGTTATCTAGTTTTTCTGAATGTTTTAGTTCTTTGTCAATATTAAAAGAGAGGTTGAGTGATATTTTTTTTAATTCAGCAGTCATGCCATAACTTTATTTAGATTTGTTTTTCATTTAAAAACAACATTATTTAGTTATATACTATCTAATGTCTAATTTTTAAACTATAACTCATCCAGTTATCCTATAGATACCTATATGTGATCTGCTATAGTGACCTTTGTTCTATGTTGAAGCAGTTTATAAAATATAAGCTGCAACTCAGCATAGAAAGGACACCACAGCCTATCATGACTAATTTTTAAATCTAACTAGCTATTATTCCCTCTTTTACTTCCTTAACTATGCTATCTAATGCTATTTTAAGACTATAATTACAATTTTCTATGTTCTCATCTACTCTGTTATTTGTTCTTTTCCCAACTGATATTTTTTTTCTCTTCTTCTTTCCTTTCTCTTTTCATGAGTATTTTTCTTTTTTTGAAATTTTTTCTTTTTTCTCCCATACCTCCATATCTTTGCATCAATTTTTTCATATCTCTTTATATATGAGTTCTATCTAAATATGCTAGAAAAGGCTCTAAAATTTAATTATCATTCTTTCAGAGCTGATGATATCTTTGATTTTTTCTGCATCTTCTTTACTAAGGATGCCTCTTATCTATTCTTTCTTTTTCTGATACTTTTCTTTCCATTCATAATAGATAGCTTGTTGTATACTTGTTAAATTCTAATTCTCTTCCTTTCTTTTGTCTTTATTGAGCTGTTTCTATATTTTTTCTTCAATTTTTTCATATACTAGATGTGTTTTCTCATATGAAATAATGTGTTTGATCATTTCTTTTTCCTTAGCACATCTTTTGCATAAGCTATTTTTGTATAATTGTAGGTTTTTACAGTTTAAGGCTTCAACTGTTGAAATGAAATTTTCGATATATTTGATTTTAAACAGTCACAGGTAGTTTATTTCTGAGTTTTTATACTGCATATGACAGCTTTCAAGGATACTTTTAAATGTTTTCCAGTTTTGTTTTTGAATTCTTGCTTGGTATTCCTTATCATTTTTTTTTTTAACTATGTTTACTCTGCTTTGTATGTTGTTTGGACTACCTTTTTAATGAAGGCTCTCAATGGAGTCTTAAGACTTAGATCTTTCTATTCAGAGATATACTTTATACTCTTGTTACTTATATTACTTAGTTCTATACTCTGTGCTTCATATATCCCTTCTTTTGTAAGCATATCTGCTATATCATTATATGTATTACTTGAAGACTTTTGATTTTAGTAAATACTAATTATACTGATTTACTCTTGTAGGTCTTCTTAATTGCACACAAAATGTTGTTGTTCTTGGTTTTTAACTACTCACATGACTTCTCATTTTTGAGACAATTTTTGATTGTAAGGATTGCATATATGCTATCTGTCATTATTTCTACTCTACAACTATTAAAAACTAATAACACTACTACTAGACAAGCTACTAACTCTGCACGAGTAGATGAGAACTAATTTTCTATCCTTTCTTTGTATCTAAAGATTATATTATTTGCACAATCTAATTGAACTACACTATATTCTATTCTCATTCTATTTCAAGTATTCTCTTTACTGAGTAAGCTATCTGTGTAAAATACTATTTCCTTCTTTTCTTTGTTTGCTTTTAATCTTTCTTTAAATTCTTTTCTATCTTTTGTATTCTGAATAACTTGGTTAATTAGCTCTGCTTCTAGTTGAGTGATATTGTTATTGCTTTAATAGTAAGTAATATAAAGGTATAATGAAATTTGTCTAGAGTAGCTAGTATATGTGTAGGTGTTTTTATAGCATTTTCTAATATTTGAATAAATAAAGAGTTATTTGATGTAATTGAAATATTTGTGTTTGGAAAAAAGGTTGTTACTTGAAATACAAATAATATAAGGCATGCTTAGGAGCTATTTGGCTAGCTACTATTATAACAACTTTATATTGTTGTATTGTTATTAAATAAGGCAATTGCTAGAGGTTTGTTATTGCAGTAGAGTAAGCAAGTAAATAAAAATATAAAAATTGAGAAGGAATATGATGAAGAATTATTTCTTGCTAGTGAGTTCTATTAATTAATATTGAATAGGAAGAAGACATTTAGTGAGCAACTGAGTTTGGTAGTAAATACAATTATCTTTTTTGTTTTTGATCTATTTGTATATGATTTGGCTAGAAGCAAGTTGTTAAAGTTAGCATGTAGTCTTTTTTGCAAGTCTATTTGTAAAGCAAACAACTTCTTATTTTTATGCTGAAAGTAGTATCTTTTTGTTTTTAGTTTTGAATCTCTTTTTTTATATCCTAAATATAGATAGTATATGTTATTTATTGAACAGATATAGTAATAAATAATTACTAAGTAGTCATTATAATAGTAAGTTCATCTTATTACAAAGTTATGAGTAAAGATCCAAGATTTTTTCTTTGGTATCCATTTTGTTAAAGTAAATAGATTAGAGTAGATAAGTAAAGTTGTTAGATTTACTATTGATTTGATTAGTTCTTGTATTTCTATGAATCATTTTGGTGTTTAACCTTTAGAAATTTTAAATATATTATAGTAAAAATCTTGCTAACTAAGAAGTTCAGTATTGTTGTAGTT